CCTTTTTCAGTTCCTCCTCTCCCTCCCAGTCGCAGATGCTCGAATCCGGAGGCACAGGTGAGAATCTATGATTTACTACGAGTCTAAACCAGGTCTAATCCTACGTTTCCGCTTTTTCGGAATTAACATAATTTTCGGGGGTTATTTGATTTTTCTATAATTATAATTTATGATTTTTCGAAACTTCCTTTTGTCGGTATTTATTCGTTTCGGTCTAATGTCGACAAAACGAAATTTTTCGTAAAAGTGGATTTTCGACAAAATGAAACTCGACATTCGTTTTTCGACAAAATTTCGAGAGAAGAAGTTTTGAATTCCCGACATCTTCCTCTAAGAAACGGCATATTCTGACTTTTCTGTCCACTCAAACTCCGATTTTCTAACCCGGACTCCCGACCATTGAAAGGCACTATGACATCAAGTGTCACTGCCAATTTCCCCAATGACCTGTGCTAGCCTGCCCCCAATCGAGCGCAGAACTTTGTGCCCAAACTCACCAAATTAAACGCTCGCATTTGCCGCAAGGGTGTGTTATTTCGGTCCATTACGGCCTGCCATTTCCGCGCTTCATCATCCCTTGAAATCGACACCCATAAATATCAATGAAGTTGTTTGTGGCTTCTGCGGTTTCTCCTCGGAACCCATTTCGAGCTCTTTGCCCTTCGCCCGTTTATGGCGAGGGTCACGCAAAATGGGTGCTGCTCATAATTGACGCGACTTTTTCGATTTGATGCCCGGCGCTTCCACCCCCCAAAAAATGTTGACGCTTTTGAAAATGGGCCGGACCGCGAAAAGTTGAAGTTCGCGGGGCGCGAAATAATATACAGTGGCTGCGGTGCAGGACTGCAGGAAAAAATCATGGCCTTGGAGAACACAAAAAGCCCGGGTTTTGCTAGTTTAGAATCAGAAAAATCGCCGTTTTGGTCGAAATTATTAAAGGAACGCGCCAGGCAGTACTATGAATTTTTGTCTATCCTCCTCTCCTCAAGCGTCGAAATTGTAGTCAAAAACCGGCAATTTTTTCGAAAAATCGAAAATTTTTTTATAAACATTTGTAAAGTTTATACGTTGAGGATTAGCAAAATAGCCAGAAAATCTAAATGTGCTTCGAAAAATTCATTTTTTTCGGAGAGAAGCTTCAATAAATTCGCGGGTCATCTCGTGTCCCTGTTTTCAAGGATTACTACGATTTTATTCCGATTGGCTGCGTGGGCGTCGCGGGTCCCGAATTTCTCGTTATTTTTCCCATTGAAATTCAACGGGAAAACCAGAGTCAGCAACGCTGCATAGCCGTCGCTTGCCCGTCCCTTTAAACCCTTTTTCAATCAAAACCCTGTTAGCACACTCCAGATCCTTCAGCATCCAATTACGCCATGCAATCGCAACTTGCATATTTCGTCTTTTTGTGCAATAAGTCCTGGCCCATTCAATGCGCCGAAATGGCTTCGAACATTGGCAGGCGCGCCCCAGATATGCCATTAGAAAATGGGCCAATTAACCAAGCATAACTTCCCCGTGAAAAGACCATACCACTCTGTATCTCTCGCTCACTCTCGCTCTCTCTCGCTCTCTCACCATCCCGCAAGCTACTAGATACTCCATCGCCGCCAATTATCCCCCCTTCCTAGCCATTCCACAACGCATAATTTGTGCCCTGCCCCCAATCGCTGGTATTTCCGGCTTCAAATCGTTTTTCGATATGCCACACCGCTCCAAATTTGCCATTTCGCCCGGCGCACCTAAAAAAGGCACCTACTATGGGCTTTGAAAAACGGGGGCAAACCCCGCGGCGTGTTCCGATTATTACGGGTTTCTGGAGGGGGATACGGTAGATTCGCGGGCCAGCTAATAGCACCGAAAAGTTCGGAAAGCGGCGTTTAAGAAGGTGGATCGTTGATTGGCTAAGATTTGGGGACTGTAGTCTAGGATATCGTCGTATTTTAGAGTAAAATTAAATAATTAAATATACTCAAAATTCACCTCAAAGCTACGCTACATTAAGGTGATATTAAGTATAATACATCAACCCAAAAAGCCTAATTTTTATACCTAATAAAAGAACCTTAAATTTTCTAAGTTCCTAGGTTATTTTTATAGTGAAAAAAACTGGCTAAGAAAACTGGCAAAATTCCTAGAATCGGCCTATACATTAAAAATTAGTTTTTATCGTTTTCTATCCAGTCTTTATATGTCTTTAGCAGGTTTAGTAAAACCCTAGTAAAATATTATAAAAACGATTTTTGATTAGGTCCTAAATGTTCCTTTTCAATTATATATTTTTCCAAATAGTCGACTGGCCGTGCATAGTATAGACAGTAGCCAATTTGCACCAAAAAAAAAAAACACCGATACCGCACAATTCCATTTACATACTTTGTACGAGATCTAAAGATCAGAAGCATACTGTTTACAAGTTCGCCTCCAAAAAGCCGCAGACCAGCGCTTCGCTGACATTTCGCGAGCCGGCCACCTAAAAACCTGTCGAGTCATTCCCGGAGGGTTATTTGCCGCTTCCGAATACCCAAAGATCCCCGCTTTACACCCCCCAAAACCCGCAATTTCGGTTGATATTCACGTTTCTCAGGTTCTGAGGCTGGTCCCGGGGTTGAGGGGGTAAGAAGCGTTAATTGATAGTATGTATCCCTACGTTTTATTACTATGCCCGCCCCCGGCCGGCAAAATGGGGGCCCGCCGCGGCTGACATTTCCGCCTTTTGCTAGATCGGCTTTGTACGGTGGCGGGCAGTCGAAAATTGGTGGCTCTATTTGGAAGGGAGATTTGATACAAAAGAGCCAGTATCTGAAAGATACGTGCTTGAACCATTGTAAAGTGCTGTAAAAGTACTAACAGCTTTTGTAATACCTAAATCACCGTAAAAATCGAAGGCTAGGGAAGTCCCGTAAAAAATTATAGAAACACTATTAAAGGTTTTGCAATTTTCCTTGCGCTAAGTACTAACTAAACGACGAACTATGACAAAACACAACTTCCGCCCTGCAAGGTAAACCCCGGTCCGAACACCAGCCAACCCTTCAGCCATGCTCAATTCCAATTAAAACCAATTCAGCCCCCATTCTGCCCTTATAATCGCCACCTTCCTTCCGGGCTAGTGGGTTCCCCGCCCGTCTGAAAACACACTTTTTCCATAACACCTGTGTTTTAGGCTCGGTGGCCATGCAAAAAGTGGTGATTAGGCTGGCAAATTGGGTGACGAGGCGGCCTGTAGTCTGGCTGGAACGCGGTGTGAACGCTTGAAATGGGGCAAGCACTTTCGTGCCTGACCACAGACCGTCCAGGTGCTTAGCTGTACAGCTGCAAGGAAAAACACAAAAACCCCCCAAGGGTCTGAAAAATAAAGCGCCAACCCCTGGGGCTCGCGGCTATAACAATGCCTTCCAGATCACTGCACTCATCGGAAGAATGCGTTGTCAGCTCTCCGCTCTTCAGCAAGGCCTCCTCGATTTTCAGCGCGCGACGGGAGCAGGGTCGCTCGCAGGCGTATCTCGAGCCGGACACTCGGGTAAAGATTTAACTAAACTAAATTTGCGCTCTTAAACCTACTAAGTTTCCTCTCCTGACGGAGCAGGAAACACACGAATTTCCAATCCGTAGAGAAATCAACCCTGAATAAAGAAATTAATCTTATCTGTAAACTAAAATTAACAATAAAAATTTATATCTCTAAACCAGCTTTTCTAACCGAAATATTTTAGAGCGTCTTCCGAACCACAACCGAATCCAGTTTGCCAGACGCCCAGTGCGACGTCGACGCCAAGACCGAGCAGGTGAGCTAAAACGCCTCCCTAAAAACCAGGAGCTACAAACGATAGTAACCCTCAATCTCTAGGTTCTTCCCGGGCAACCACTACGAGAACGTGCCGTCTGCCCATTCCGTCATGTGCTAAATTATGACGCTAAGGTAATTTTGTTTCTTATGATAAGCAATTGCCGATTAATCAATTTTCAGAAACTATAGAATAACCATCGCTGCATTACTAACCTAAATACAATTTTATAGCGATTGCCAGCCAGCATCGTCGAGGTCGAATGCATGTGCTCGATGCCGCACAGTTCAAAGAACCCAGACAGGTAAGAGATGAAGCCTACCATGACCGTGAATCCATTCTAAAAACCTTGCCGTCTACTAACCAAGTTTTTCAGGTTCGCCGATATCCGATGTGAACCATCGTACTACACGATGCGAGTACTGCGCTTCGACTCCGGGTGCAGCAATTTCGTCGAGGACACCCAGCGAGTCTCCATGGGATGTACGGCAGTCTTTGCGGTAAGTTGCACATAAAAAAGCTACAAAAATTCTGTAAGGACTTCCATGTAATCCTTCCTTTTCAGAGCCGAACCAACGACGAACTGGCAGCAACGACTGGCGAGATAGCACAGGCCGAAGTGCCCGTCTAAAGGCTCCAGCCCTGCGGCCTCTAAATCACATTGGGCATAATATTAATTACGCGTTAGCTAGATTCCCCCCGCCTACCGGTGTACTCTTACCTGTACCAACCACATCCTTCCGCTTCATCCTAGGAACAAAAATAATGGGTGCCATATAATATGAATTCGCGTTTCTCCACCGAGTCGAGTCTTTCACGAATCCCGCGTTTCTCCAGCCGGATCTCGTCTTGTTGGCCTGCCACGGGTGCTCGCTTTTATCCCCCAAACTTCTTTCCTTCTTGATCTCGTCCCTAGTCCAGCATTGATAGTCGCTTGCCATGTATTACATTACTCCCATGTATGTGCCCAGAGCGGCTGTTAATGAATAGATTTATTTTACAATTGGCGCAGAAGTAATTCGTGGTCTCGAAAATTATAAAAAGGGTTAAAGAGGATGAAACACGGAAGAACGGGATGACGAATGGGGGACCAAATTTGAGATGATGTGGGCGACCGCATGTACGAGGAGACTATAACCAAGAACGATTGGAGAAAATGGAATATGCGAGAACACAAATACCATCGCATCCAATAATCACACCGGCAAGAGTTTATAAGAAATAATCGGGCGTACGACGAGTGACGTGTGGCTCGCCGCGTCTCGGTGCCGGGTCGAATTGCAGGAAAGAGTACTTCAGTTCGTCGTCGAGCTCGACCATTGCCGCCTGGTTGCCGCATCGGTAGCAGTAATTTGGCGCCGAGAAGACGGTGACGACGTTGCGATCATGGCACCAGTTGTAGCCCTGAAAATAAAAAATAAAGTCAATCAACCGGGCGCGAATTAAGCCTAGTGAGCCAGGATGTGTCAAAAAGCCGTATAGACGAATTGGACAGACCAAATCTCACTACAACCCTGAAACAGGCTCAAGAAACATACCTCCATGACAAGCTGGTGAGCCCTGGAAATAAGGGTTAGCCCATTCGAGTGGTTGAACGTCTCCGAAATGTCTTGGCCAAAAGTGTAGCCGGCACCACGCGGGGAAATGCCCCAGCCGCCTCGGTCATCGGGGTCGGACCAGAGGAGGTCGCACATCGGGCCTTCGTGGGGGACCTAAAACGAAATTATACGAACTAGCGCCAAAATCAGACCTCTTGGATACGGTCGAGCGCCCGGATATGGTCCAGGGTGTCTATCGAGGGAGACAGACCACCGTGGAGGCAGAAGATCTGCCCGTCGACGAGGGCGGTGAGGGGGAAGTAGTCGAAGAGGTCCGTGAAGTACTTCCAGACGTTGGAATTGCCGTACTTCCGCAGGCACTCGTCGTAGAAACCATAGACCTGAAAAGGCGCGTCATGAACAATGAACAAGGAGAATTCCCAACTGGAACCTCCAGGGAATCGTAATTACAAGAATATCGAGAAATGAGACAGTACCTGGGTAATTTGCCTAGACTCGTGGTTGCCTCGGAGAATCGTCACGCGACTCGGGTATCGCACCTAGAAAATACCAAGCATAACTTGAAATCCAAGAAAACCACCTTCAGGGAAACAAGTAGAGAAACAGTCTCGACCGAGTAGTACCCGCGATCAACATAGTCGCCCATAAACAAGTAGTTGGTGTCAGGGCTCTTGCCACCCATCTAAAAATGATAATAAACAAACTTCGGACAGTTATACCTTAAATAGCTCCATGAGATCGTGGAATTGACCGTGGACGTCGCCGCAAACGGTTACCGGGCATTTGACTTCTTGTACATTGGATTCCTTTTCAAGAATTTCTTTTGCCTAAAAACTATGATAAATGCCGAAAGTAAGTTGTCACCTTCTCGCAAAGTTGTTTGACGTTGAGTTCGGTAAGCTGCTTGCATTCGTACAGCTGCTCGACCCATCCATCCAAATCCTTTATGAAGCCCTTGTCTTGCGCTGTATCCCCGGCGGACATTCTGGAATGGAACGATGTGAGAAGCTGGACGGCCGTGTTTTAGATAAGCAGAAATGAAACGGAACGTAAAAACAATAGGATGGGAGACCAAGAAGATGTGTGGAGTGTTCGAAAAGTAAAACTAGAAGAAATTTTTTACATGATGAGTCATAAAACAATTGCTCGAAAAATAAACTGAGGATCTTCAGAAATCCGGGGAAAAATGAAATGAGGAAATTCGAAATCATTCCCAAAGCAGTTCCGAGGCATTGCAAATGACGGACGTCCTGTTACGGTCGATGGTCCATATTTCTATTTTTGAACGGAAATTTCGTCATTTGGTGTGCAACGGATTTATCAGCTTTTTCTTGTTTTTAGCGCCAAGTATATCCTCGCTAACGTTAAAATTCCGTAAATTTGCCCAGAGAACAAAATTTTGAACCGTGATAGGGACCCATTGATTCAAGCAGAGGACCCGTCTCTCGCCCAGCCCGGGCTCCGACCGCGACGCGTGAGGCCGCGGCCGCGTGCGCCCACTCCCCTGCTAGGTTGCAATGCTTTGGCGCGAACGGGATGAGGGCCCGGGGTTCGGTGATTTTGGTCGGAAACTTATGGAATACTCATAAATTTGGTCAGAACGTTTTGCTTGAACTAAAAACTGCTAAAGGTTTCTCGAACCGCCGCGCTTGTATGAAAAAATGAACCCAACCCAGAAAGCCGACGGAAATTCTTACAAGTTGTTAGACTTTTGCAAACAGCGACCTCAGATAACCGCCGAAAACTGGTTTCGCGCAAAAATATTATCCCCTTACGCGTGGGCTCCTGAGTTCACGTGCCCTTCCCCCACGGCAGCGAGCCCAAATTGATAAGTGCATGTGGACGCGGTGAAACCGCGCTGCTCTGTAGACAGTTTTTTATTCAATTCAAGCGATTTTGTTGACCCTGATATGTTGTACAGCAGAAACGACAATGAACCCATGCGAAAAAGGAGGCAAATTCGAAAAAAGCGGTAAGGCACGTAGAAAAGTCAAGACAGAAAAAATGGTATTATGAATGTTTGGCGATATATTCTTCGAGTAGGTGCTTCGAGTCGAAGTAGATGGCCAGTCGATCGCGGCCGTAGCTAGCTGAAACCCGGTATTTATAGGACGCTATCATGTGATTCAGCTTGCAGGCGTGCAGGACATGACGAAATCAGCGCTACTATTTTCGAAAATTGAGCCAATTGATTGCTCGGGCTTATGCTACGCTTTTACTTGGCTAAATCGTTACATTATTATTGAAGCTTAGCTGAAAAATTACCAACCGTAGTCAAATTGGCAAATAGCATTTTCTGCATTCACCAGTGCCCATGCCGACCAAAAAAGATGAGAGAGCGTCATGAACAGGGTCGATTCCTAGAGCGGGAACGTTTGGAATTAAACCGGTGCGTACCTCAATTACTTTTTCAACATCCTTTTCTCTATTTCCTGTCACGAGGTCACTCGGGAAATGTGTATCGTCTGAGGCTTCTTTCAACTAAAATACCAAATGGGATTTTTGGAGTTTCCTGACCCTGTAAATCTCATCCACGTACGATTGGGCAAATGCTCGTCGCCCTTCGACGTCTTGGAAACGTTCAGAGTGTATCTGTAAGAAGTATTGTCAAGGGAATGGGTTAATACCGCGTAGTAGGGCGCCTGTTCGGATGAGTAATCGAAGGCGTATTCGCAGAGATGATTGCCCAGATCGAATCCCCTGGAAATTACCCATTCAGCGTTACGATTTTTGTTTCCAGGCGGCTATTCTCATGGGGCATGCTCCGTCATCACTTATAGCCGGGCGGATTAGGGTAGACCGGGACCAAATTTTTGATTATCTGGAATTTCCTCTAATCCCCCACCCCATAAAAGGCAGATTTCCGGGGCAGATTGTTTAGCTGTATCGGAGCAACGGAAATGAGAGTGGATGGGGTGAGTTGAGGTAGATTTTTTCCGGCCCAATATTTCATGAAAAAGGCATCAATCAAATCACAACCTGTAATTATACGACGCGTACTCGTAGTCGATCAGCACCATTGCATCCTTAGGGTTTGCCGTTTTCCCATCCTTATCTTTGTACCCCTCTTCGGTTACGGAATATCCATTGACGAGCAGGAAATTCCCTTCCTAAAAAACAACCTATTGAAAGCTTGTGAAAGTTTGCGCGCCTGCAAGTCGTTATGGCTGAACACGATCGGGCTGCCGGCAACGTCCAAAAACTTTTGGTAGAATTGCACTTCTTCGAGGAGCTGGTCGGCCGTTACGTGATCGGGAACCTAAGACAAAAAGATAAATTAAACAAATCAAAAAGCTACTCTATTCCGGTCGACCTTCGCCAACTTGGTGGTCAACTCAATTTTACGGTCGTCGATCAGCGACTTGAGCTCGTGCAGCCAGCCTTCGGTTCGGCTGAGGGCCTAAAAATGGATTTAATAAAATAGAAATGCAAGATACCTGGGGCTCCTTCGTTATCGGCACGTCGAGCGTATGAATATGGGCAACCATCGGCGCAAGTAACCGTGCGAACCTGGCGAATATTAACAATTATCTAGACGATACCTACTTTGGTTTCGGTATTTCTTGGCAAGTGAGGGCGCGGGAGTCGATAAACGTTTCAAATCTAAAACATAGGTTGTAAAAACAAAAATTAAAACTACCGGCCGCCGGGGAAGATTCCTAGAAGCTGTGGACCAAGTCCTCGCTCGGATAGCAGCGTGAAAACGACGGACTCGGTCAGTTGTTCGTCAAGGCCGCCCTAAAAAATACCTTATTAGGGTTTCAAACCTTACCTGGCATTGTATCCGCATCAGAATTTTTATATCCTGTTGATCGCCCTTCTCGTCGGGGTGCTGCAGTTCGACGAAGTAGAGCAGGTTCGACATACCGCCCCTAAAGTTAATAAAGTAAAAAAAATCATAAATTTAGATCACTTACGTCACGGTCTTCACCGTATAAGCCTTTGCGGGTGCTCGTGCCCAAATTCCGCCCATAAACTTGGAGCACAAGAATCGGGTTGTCGCCATTGCTTCTTGCCGGTCCGAGTCATCCGTGTTGAACTTGCCAAATATTTCCTAAAATGAAGTTTTCAAAACATGTCAAAGGAGGTATACCTTTAATTGAGCCGAGGACGGCATTCGTTGTATTTCCCCGTTCATCGTGACGCCTAAAAACGGCAGATCTTTGACAAAATGAGGGAAAGAAATCCGAGGTTAACGCCGAAATCCGTGATATCAAGGGGTGGATCGAGTGGCGGGCAAATATTTGAGCGAGATCCGGCATGTAGGATGAACCGGTGATGCGTTCGAGGCCGCCAACATACAAACGAGCGCTTTTTAGTGGTGGAGTTAGCGGGAATCGACCGGTCCGGTCATGCGGAACTGGTTGTCGAAAAAAATTTTCAAAAACTTTTCACGAGGATGCCGGTCAGGGTATTGAGGGGGGCGATTTTATCGATGTTTCCGGTCGGAGCGGGCTCGATTTAGGCAGAAAAAAAGCGGGAAACGCGTGTATTTGGATCAATTTTAGCAAAAAAAGAATGCTAGCTTGTTTTGGAAGGTTTGGAAGTAGAAAAAAAGTCGGTTTAGTAAATTTCACAAGGCGCGGTTGTTGTAATGGGTAAAACTACAAGTATTTCGGCCCTAAAGTAACTAATTTTAGCGTCAAAATATGGTCAGATACCTTAGATACCTAATTACGATGTATTGCCACAAAAATTTGACTTAATAGATGTTATTAGAAAAGGTTTAGGTAGAGTCTTCCGCTAGAGTTTTGGACTTTCAACGAAAACGGAATAAACTTTTTAAAATTTGCTTTTATCCTCAAAATAATTGGGGATTCATAGATTCGTACGAAAGGTTTGATCGTGCCTAAAAGCTTAAAAAAAACAGCGGATCTCCTAGAATCAATAGCTTTCACCGGCGTTCCGCGTGGATGCCGGAAAGGGCAGATTAATTGAGCTGTCATGGCGCCGTGTGGCATTGTTTTGGTAAACAAAAGGCGCCCGGTGCCCGCCGGCCATGGCGTCGTAATTTTAATTTTCCGCTTACGCAATTCAGCCTTGTCATGAAACGAAAAATCAGGGACACCGAAATCGAAATATGGGAGAGGCTTTCAAATAGATTTTATTAGTGTTTTATAAAGCTTAAGCCACGAATAATAAATTCAGTTTTTCAACAGAAGATTTTTTCCTATGGCGTTGTCTTTTTCAGGCATTTCCAAGCATGAAATTCACGAAAAATACGCGTTTTCCGGAGGCTTTAGCAAGGCATGGAAGTGGGGGCGCTCATGCACTTTGAGCCTTCCCAAAAAAATCATTTCGAAAAGCGGAACGCCAACGTCAATTTTGCGGGGTTTTACGGTTTGGGATATTTGGATACGATTAAAAAGTGTCTTTTTAAATTTATTTATTTATTTATTTATTTATTCTTATTTATAATCTATGCTTTATAGAAAAACCTAAATTTAACTTTACTATCACCAATAGTCCTATAAATGACAAAAAAACATAATAATTTTAGAAATTAAAGGATGTTTTAAGAAAGTAAGCAATCTTTTTTATGAAATCAAGCTTCTATAGCGCGAAAAATATAGGGGTTATCTTGAGGTTGTCAAAATGCAAAGCAACATCAACTTTTAAAGGAATTTTGAATGTCAGTAAAAATTTTTTTCTCTCATACAATAGCTTTGAATAATTTTTATTTTCAAATCTATTCTATATGGATCAAAAAATACTAGCTTTTAGCTCGACAACCTAAGAAAATCGAGAAGTCGAAAAGGTAAATTTTCGGTGTTTTCGCTCGACAGCCTCAAAAAAACGCGTTCAAGAGCAAGAAAATGCCTGAATCACGCACGGAAGCGCCTGGCTTGACCGCCACCTTATCAGGCAAAGGTCAAAAGGGTCGGGCAAACAGGCCAAAAAAAACGTATCTATCTGTCTTTTCGCGTGTGTATGGCGATGGGTGGGGTGTGTTGTGTGTGTATGTGTGAGCGATATGAGCCGATAGGCCTCTATTCTCCGGTGGTTGCCCGCTGTCTCTCTCGCTCTTTATTCTGTCTTGCCGGCCGGCCATTCCGCCCGGTCCATTTCGGCCCATTCCGGCTGAAAAGGCGGCTGTTCTGTCCTCGTCCCGGGGCTTTCACACTACCCCCTTTGCCGTGATCGCCTAGGACATTAAAAATGACTTATGCCGGGTGGCTGCCGGATTCGAGTTGCGTGTAATAATGCGGAATTTAGGCCAAAGCCCAGAGTGTTCGAAATTGCGGCAATTAGCAAATTTCGTACGGTTTCAAGGTTTCGATTAGCTTAAGTTTAGTCCATACAAATAAAATTAAGGTTACTTTAGCATTATCGCTGGGGTGGGAAGGGTATCTGGGGCAAAGTCCACTTTTTTTCCGCGATGATCCAAGTTTTAAAATGCAATAGAGAAAGTGGTTCTGAAATGCTTTTTTGTTTCCTAGGCGAAAAACTTTACAAATTTTTAGTAAAAAATACCTAAAAATCCTCTCTGCGGCTCTCTCTCTCTCGCCCTATCTCTCTCTCTCTGTCTCTCTTTATCTTACTCTCACTCCCTCACTCTCTCTCCCTCTCCCTTTCCATCTCTCTCTCTCTCTCTCTCTCACGCTCTCTCTCTCTCTCTCTCTCTCTCTCTCGCTCTCTCACTCTTTCTCTCTCTCTCTCTCTCTCTCTCTCTCTCTCTTTCTCTCTCTCCTATACTATTTTTTATATCGTAGGCAGGGACATAAACGTACAATCTTCGGAGGACAACCACAAAAGTCGCGCCAAGCGCAGCCATAATCCGGCAGACACCCATAATCCCCCTCTGTCCCTCCTGCTCCTCCTCAAACGTGTTCTGTTCGTTCGTAGAAGCCACGCGGAAATACTCGTATTTACCTCCGAAAATAGCATCGACACTTTATTCGAAAAACATACAGGCATGTGGATAGAAAAAGTATCACGAAATACCCGTTGCTGGGAGACTACCGTAGTATCGGAAATTGGCTGACATCGCCGGAAACTGATGAGCATGGGTGGGGGATTTGGAGTCACAAAAGTGAAGGGGACGGAAAAACTGAAATATCAGAGAAAGAAGATATTTTGGGGGACCCGTTGTGTTGACGACGCATTAAAGACAAGTGGAAAATTCGGGGTATGAATATGGAATTTTAAAGTGTATGGAATTAGATTTGGGGATGATTAAAGCGAGCGGAGGAGAAATATCATAAAAAACTATATTTTTTAGTTTGAGTTAAAAAGGAAAAGCCGTGTAAGCGATTACGGTATGTAATTAAAAAAGTTAAACTTTTAGAAAATCACCAGCGCCGACCCCCCGCTACGCAGGGGTTCAGCGCTGGCCTCCCTTCCCCACACAATTTGAATTTTGAGTTTGAATGCAGAATTTGGCTGAATTCCTGGACGCAGGCGAACGGACATTAAAAATTTATATATAGTAGATTGAGGAGCTTAGGCTTAGGTTTGTCTTACTGTAAAGTGTTTTTACTCAAGTTGGAGTTTCGATTCGGGACCAAGTGCATCTTGTGCAGAATTTTTCGCTGATTCCGAATTCGCTTTCCAAATCTGCTGCGGACTTTTTTATTTTGAAAGTTATACAGCAATTATGGTAGTGTTTTGCACCAAAATCAAGGAACCGTTATCGTTTTCGATTTTCCTGATCAATTTCAACTTCGAAATTGGCTGGAGATTGGCTAGACAAGCATCCTAAAAGCCAAAACAATCTTTTTTTATAAAAAATTAGATTTTTTTATGCAAAAAGCAAAAGAAAGATGCAGGGCGGGGATCCGAACCGTCGCCCTGCGCTTGGCAAGCGAGTACTTTGCCAATGCACTATGGTGCCAACTGGGACGGGAGCTGTGAGAGCATACTTCAGGGCCCCTGGACCCCATCGAACCAAGGAGGGAATAGTGGGCCAGAATCCGAATTTTTGGCTTTTTCAAGCTTAATTTGCACCAAAAATGACTTTTTAAATAAAAGTCCGCAGCAAATTTGGAAAACGGATTCGGAATCAGCAGAAAATTCTGCACAAGATGCACTTGGTCCCGAATCGAAACTCCAACTTGAGTAAAAACACTTTACAGTTAGGCTTATTTTAAGCTTGGCGTCAGGATGAGGCTTATGCTTAGGCTTAGGCTTAGACTTGACTTCGGCTTAGGCTTGGGCTTCGCCTTAGGCTTAGGATTCGGCGGGCTTAGGCTTTGTTTAAGCTTAGGCTTGGGCTTGGCTTAGACCTCGGCTTATGCTTAGGCTTAGGCTTAGATTTGGCTTAGGCTTGGCTTAGGCTTACGTTAAGCTTAGGCTTAGGCTTAGGCTTTGTTTGGGCATAGGCTTTGTATACTACAGTAACGGTGGGGCACAAAATTGCGCGCATCATGAGATAATTAGTAATCTACATCTTTAAGACTCCGCGCGGCTACAAATTCCGGTGCTTCTTGGGAGTTTGGGCAAGAAATGGGGCCACGGGTCGGCGGGCAGCCAGACCGGCTCGGGGTCGGGGGCCTTGGCGCAGTTGTAGCGGTGTACTTGGATGTTGTAGTACGGCTCGCTGAAAATCGATACGTTGCATTGAACTTAGCGCATTAATGATAAAGTCAGAAAGTACTACTATATAAAAGCCTAACAATTTGAAAAAGAGGGTTACACCCCCTATTTTAGCCGCCTTGCCGAACTTGTCGCCACTCACCCCTTCTCCTCCTTGAGCATCTGGATGTCGGTGATGACATCAAAGGACGTGACGTCGCCACCCTTGTCCTGCTTCTCCTCGCCCTCGAAGAACTCGCCCCGCCGGACGGTCACCTTCTTGTACAGCAGCTCGCTGTACTCGGCCAAGTACTCGTAGTCGCAGCATTGGGTGTAGAGCACACTAAAAAGAAGGTGGATACATGGGTAGTATTATTTGTCTACCTTTCTCGCACCCACACTCTCTCTCTCCCACTCTCTCTGTCTCTCGCTTTCTCTCTCTTTCTCTCTCGCATAGCGAGCGAACGTGAGATTGAAGTTAGATGAACGCAAGTTAGAAGGATGAGAAAGACAGACAGAGAGCGAAAGAAAGCGAGAGAGAGAGAGCGAGAGAAAGAGAAAGCGAGAGAGACACAGAGAGAGATAGAGAGAGAGCAAGCCCAGCTACATATTTTACTATTTTCA